CAGTGCCAGCGCAGGAAGGTCTTGGTGACCGACTTGACGGGCTTGCAGAACATGCCCTCGGGCAGCGAGCAGGACTTCTCGGCCAGGCAGTTGCCCTCCTTGATGTAGCGCGGCCAGAAGCGCACCCCCAGGTCCTTCCAGGCGTAGAGGACGGGGCAGTGGGTGTGCGCCCACAGCCACTGCAGCACCTTCCGCCGCGCCTTCTTGCCCAGCCGCAGGCGGGGGCCCCGGGGCGGCCCCAGCTCCAGCCGCCGCAGCTCCGCCGGCAGCGCCGCCCGCCCCCGCCCCGCCGCCGCCGCGGCGCCCGAGGCGTTGGCCGGCCCCGGCACGGCCACGGCCATGAAGCCTGGGTCGAAATGGCTGCCCAGCTTCTTCCTCAGCGTCCTCTCGTCCAGGTCCTGCTCCTTGGGGTCGTACTCGGGATCCGGGTGCTCCACGATGTCCTTGACGGGCAGGTTGTCGCTGGGCGAGGGTCGCAGGCGGAGGAAGGGCTGCCCGCCCGCCGGCAGCCCCAGGCAGAGGCAGAGCAGCAGCGCCCGGATCGCCGTCATGCTCCGGGCGGGCCCCGGCGCTGCTCCCGGCGGGCTCGGCTCCTAGCGCTGCCCGGCGGCGCCCGCCGGCTCCCGGGGGCTCATAAATAGGCAGAGACACCAGTGTCCGGCGGGGCCCGTTACTTTAAATAGCCCGGCCGGGGTTGTGTGACAGCCGCATCTGAGGCTCGCCCCGCGCCCGCGGCCGCTGGCTCCCGGGGCTCCCCGCCGGGCCGGCTCCAGCCGCGGCCGGCAGCGCCGGGGGGTCCGAGCCTCCCCCGCGGGGCAGGGCAGGGCACGGCGGCGGCCGAGCCTTCCTCCTCCTCCGCCGCCGCCGCTCTCGCTCGCTCCCCCCCAAAATTCACAGCGGACTCGTCTCCATCGCCATGGTGACAGCTGGGCCGAGCCCCACGACAGCTCGTCTAGACGGTGTGACAGGGTTTGGCGTGAGACCGGAGCCCGAGAATAAAACCCTCCTTTATAGCCGGGCGCGCCGGGCGAGGGGGCGGGAGGAGGGTCACGGCGCCGGGGCGCTCGGGCGGCCCCTGTGCGGGCACGGCCGGGGCGCGGGGCTCAGGCGGCGGCGGCCGGTGGCGGCAGCGCCCGCGGCCCGGCCGGGCTCCTCCTCATGGCGAGCGGCGGGGGCGGCCCGCGGGCCCCCGGGGCATCCTCGGCGTGGCGGGGCTGGGGGGGCGTAGGGTGTCCCCGGCACCGGCGAGGCGGCGCGTCCCGACTCCCGGCACGGTTCCCTGGCGGCTCCTCGGCGGGGACGGGCAGAGGCGGGCACGGCCGCCGCTCAGCAGCCCCGGCGACCCATCGCTGCTGCTGCCGCTGCTGCTGCCGCTGCTGCTGCCGGTGCTCCGGGGGCCCGCCTGTCCCCGCCGCGCTCAGCGCATCCAGCCGCGGCTCCGCTCCGTGCCCTGCGCTGCCCGCTCGGCTCGGCTCGGCGCGGCGCAGGCCGGCCCGGCGGGGTTCGGCTCGGTGCCGGTCGGCTCGCTGTCCCGGTGTCCCGGTGTCGCGGTGTCGCGGTGTCGCGGTGTCGCGGTGTCGCGGTGTCGCGCTGCCCCTGCTGCCGCCGCCCGCCCGCCGCGTTCTGCCGCGCCGCCGCTGCCGCCCAAGTTAAATACGCGCCCGGCACGGCCGCCCCGCCCCCGCTGTCACTTTCGCCGCTCGCTGAGTGACAGCCGGGTCCTGCCACCACCTCCCCAGAGCCGCCCACCCCCATCCCCGGAGCGGCGTCCCACCTGCGGCCCCGGGCTCACCGGAGCCGTCACCCCGGCAGCGGGCAGGGTGCGGGGCAGCGGCCCCGGAGCAGGCGGCACTGCCGGCCCTCGGCGTCTCCCGCCTGCACCAGCCCGTAGTCCGGGCACCGCACAGGCTTCCCGAGTAGCCGAACCCCTCTCTCTGCCTCTGCCTCTGCCTTCCGCAGCTGCTCTGCTGCCCCGCCACGTCTGCTCCTCCACAGGAGCCCACCCGCCGTCAAACCTCCTTCCAGCTTTACGCAAAGCTTTAGTTGAGTAGAGTGTCTTTAGAGCCCCTGGGGCAGGACCCCCGGGGCAGTACACCAGTGGGACACTCCAGCGTCAACATCTTGGCACTCTCTGCAAGGGCATCTGCAGCCTTCCAGGAGCATCACTCTCCCAAGAGAGGAAGTGTCCCTGCATCCCTTGGTGCAGGGTGTGATAAACCACCCACGTTACATCGGTGGCTTTTCCTTCACCTCTTTCCCAGCCATGTGGGGCTGCATCTTTTGGAGGAGAGCTGGACTCACAACCTTTGAGGCACAGAGACTGGCAGCCTGGTGTGTGTCAACACAGTGAAACCCCAAACTCTCCTCACCTCCTTTACCTCCACATTGCTCAGCACTGAGCTCACACTTGAACCATGTCCAGAAATTGGACACACAGCTGGTTCCTCCAGACTGACAGTGTGTAAGAACATTCCTGCCCATGCCAGTCACTCCCTCCCAAAGCCATGAGATAACCAGTTACCCACTGGGGCCAAGGCAGGCGCAGAGGGACTGAGGTGGATTGCAGGGCCAGTTTCTCACTGTGATGCGCTTCTGACCCAGCAAGCAAAGTGAGGGACTGCAGTGACAGGCCAGCCCGGAGTATCTTGCTGGCACATGCTGGGGTTGTGCAGAGCTGGCTTCACTCATCAGACTAATGAACAGAGCATCTTCCCCCGATTTCTGTCCCTTCACCATCCCAGAAATGCCAAATGTTGCATTCAGACAGGGAAAGAAAACAAAACTCTCCAAATTAGAGAGGTTGGACCTCCAACCCTGAATCTGCATAGAGTCAGAGCATCCTCTGGACTCTGGGTAGACAAAACTATGTGTGCCAGCTCGGGAGCCAATGCCAGTGTGTCCAGGTAATGTACACTGTGCTGGGGTTTAAACTTTCTTCCCTTTCTGTGCATTTGTGCTATTGTGATCCCAGCTTGGTTTGCTGAACTTGGAGCTTTTCTTCACTGATTTGGCTCACACACACTCTGCAATCAGAGCCACGAAACTGTACCATTTCCCAGCTCTTCCAGCATTACCTCTCAGCAATTCGCAGGAGAGGTGGGTGTTGTTACCCCCTGAGGCTGAATATTACCAGTAAGAAGTTCTTATTATCCGTTTTCTGACCCCAGTGCACATCCGACATATGCCTTGAATGAAGGCAGCCTGGATGTGCAGGATGTGCTCTGCCTTTGCTTGCTGCTGGGTGGGAAAATGCAGCGCTCTCAGAAGCGTCAGAATTAAAGCAAACACAGAAACGAGAAGCAGCTCAGGGCAGAGACACCCAACAGTCAGGAAGGGGGCAATTACTCAGTGAGATGTACTGCTGTTGGCACTGCTGCCTGAGTAAATCCCGGTGAGGGGATTAACATCTGACTGTAATTGTAATAATAAAATCCGACATGTATACAGCATTTTTCATCCTGAAGGATCCCAAGCACTCCAGTAACTTAACTCCTTCAGCTGTCTCCTGGACTTTATAAACACCCTTCTTAATCATCCCATGCCAGGTGAAGATGCCTTTGCTCTGGGCATGCTCACCTCGCTTCAACAGGTCCCCCGTGGGAGAGGAGAGGAGGAGAGGCTCTCCAGGGTGGGCTGGAGAAGATTTCCCCTTCTGGAGGCAAGATTCCTGGAAAATGGTGCTTGGCACATCCCAGGGGCGGCAAGGGGGAAGGCACCAAGGTCTGCAGGGGGCTTTCCCCATCCCAATCCCCATGCCAATCCAGATCCCCATCCCCTCCTCTCCCATTCCCATTCCCATTCCCATTCCCATTCCCATTCCCATTCCCATTCCCATTCCCATTCTGGAATTCCCATTCCGGAATTCACATTCCCCTCCCTGCCTCTCTTCTCCTCTCAACTCTTTCTCTTCATTTCTTTTCAATTCTCTCCTCCCTGTTTCATGTTCCCAAGTGTGTCCTTCCTGTGCTCCTGGATTGGGCAAGAGACTTTTCCATGGTTTAATGTGTGAATATGAAGCTTCTGTGCCTATAGCTGGAGGAATAGAAATGACTTTGTAACACAGACAGTTCTGCTCTGTGAACAGAACTCTCAGGCAAATGTCCTTTGCCTCTTTGGAGTTTTTTCCCCCCTTGCTTTCTGTGTGCTTGTTTAAGTTTTCCAGGCTCTCTATGCTTGAGGAATAATGCTGATGGGCTGGCATGGGAAATATGAGGAAAGGCTTGGGTCTGACAAGACAAAAGCTCTAATTTTCACTTAAAGAACAAAAAAAACCCCGATGGTGCACCAGGTTTTCATTAGAGATCTGTTTATTTTCCAGGAGAAATGCATTACCCTGCTCTCCTCGGTGTGTCCAGAGGAGTGGTTCCCAAAGTATGCCATGGCAAGCGGTTGGCAGAGCTCCCACAGCAGCTCCCGGGCCAGCTCCTGCCATCTGCTGCGAGCAGGGGAGAGAGCAGCTGGCTGGCCCCAAATCCTGGTGAAGGTGAGGGGACAGCAAAGGCCACAGGGCTGCCAGTGCTGGCAGTGATGACATGGAGGTGCTGGAGTGTTTCCAAAGATGAGCAATGGAGCTGGTGAAGGGTCTAGAGCAGGAGTCTCGTGAGGAGTGGCTGGGGGAGCTGGGCTTTTATAGCCTGGAGAAAAGGAGACCTTATCGTTCCCCACACCTGCCTGAAAGGAGGTCGTGGTGAGGTGGGTGTCAGTCTCTTTTTCCGAGTGACAAGTGATAGGGAGAGAAAAAAGGGCCTCAAGTTGCACCAGGGGAGGTTTAGATTGGATATTAGGAAGAAATTCTTTACTGAAAGGGTTTTCAAGCACTGGAACAGACTGCCTGGGGAAATGATTGAGTCATCATCCCTGGAGGTATTTAAAAGACATGTAGATGTGGTGCTCAGGGACATGTTTTAGTGGGGGCCTTGGCACTGTTAGGTTAATGGTTGGACTCCATGGTCTTAGGGTTTTTTTCCAACCTAAATGATTCTGTGACTCAGCACACACCTCTGTGCAATGTGTCTTCAGCTGGCCAAATTCTCCTGGGGCAAAAATGTCCCCATAAGGGTCAAATGAACTCAACGTGGACGCACAGACACACACAGTCTTCCTCCTTTTCATCACAGAGCTACTGAGGCTCAATTTCTGTGAGTGGTTCGAGAGTCCCGGTATTTATGAAGTTACCAACCCACACGTTTCTCTTCCCATCCCATCAGGATAGGATGAGGATTGGGATGGAAAGAGACACGGGATGGCAAGAAAGGGGGCCCCAACCACCTTCTGTTAAAATCTATGTAGGTCTTGCACCTGCCCTGTTCAACCCCTTTTCCTCCTCCACAGCCTTGGGCCACCAGCCCCAACAAACCCCCCTTAGCTACCCAGTGCTGCCCTTCCCCAGGGGGACCAGGAAGGAGCATCTGGCAAAGGTGTTCTCTGAGAAACTGAGCTAAGAGTGTCCCAGTAGAACCCCACTGGGAGATCAGCACCACCCCAGCACTTGCCCTGCACTGAGTTCAGATGTTCAAAAGAGCTGATGGGAAAAAAACTCCCACCCCGAAACTCCAAGGAAAGGATTACTTGTGCTTCAGAAATACATTTTCTCTGTATCAAGTAGGGTGGTTTTGCTATTCTGAGCTTCCTGGCATCTTTTTTTGTCTTCATCGTGACGTATTTCTCTGTTTTTCAAGCTCCTTGTGACTTTCTCCCTCTTGGCAGCGCGGTGTTGTGCCCCATCCCTCGCTGCCTCACCCCTCTCCAGGGCAGTGCTAGAGTCACCATCCCTGGAAGTGTTCATAAAACGTGTGGATGTGGCACTTGGGGACATGGGTTAGTGGCGGCCTTGGCGGTGCTGGGTTAATGGTCAGTGATCTTAGGGGGGGGGTGTTCCAACCTAAAGGAATCTATCATTCCGTGATTGGCGGTCCAAACTTATTTCCTGCCAGACACCAAGCCTGGTATCAACCTGTTTTCTGTACAGCTGTACCTTACATTCCCCTTCAACTGCCCTGAGTTGGTCCTTCGACATTTGCACAGTGAATGCCCACTCTGTGCACTGCAGCACC